ACGGCGCCGAAGCCGCACAGCATCCCTCGGCACGCTGCCGGCACAAACACACGGAGACGCGCCTCAGCCTAAAAGAGGCACAGGGCTCCTTACCGCTGACCACAGCGGCCCGGCTCAACGCCCGGACTGCTAAAGGGAAAGGAAATCTCATATACGATGGAAAGTGTCGGTCCTTCCAAACCCAACTATCTGCGGGTGCAATGGAGGAAGCAATGCCAAGAGCTTGCTGCAAGCAAGGCTTTTTTTGCAGCTATTGCACCAGCCGTGCTCCAAGCCCACGGGCTGCAGGACAGGTCTGTGCACACCCTGTGCAGAGAAACAGACTGACCCGACACAGTGACAAGGAGAGAAATCAGAGAAGGCAAAATCAAGTGCTCGGCAATGGCTCATTTACACTTCAATTCCCAGGCACTCGCCTTTGCCTTGAGATTTCGAGCTCATATGCACAGCAACAATGCGCTGCTAAGAGACTAATATCAAATGAAAAAAAAAAAAAAGAACTCGCTTTCTCTCCTGCCCAATATCTAAAAGCAATTTATCATCTTTATGAAGTGCTCTGGATCATCTCTCCCACTCTTTCTGCTGCTTCTCTTTCTCTCTTGCTGATTTTTTTTTAATGCAGATGAGCCTGTTGAGCGCTGAGATTAGGAGGTGCAGGGGCCAATAGCAAGTGGATTAACATGAAATGCAGAAGGGGACACGCAGCCACCACGAGTGCCACCCAGTGCCACCAGCATCCTTTGGCATCTGGCAAAGGAAACCTATGGGTGAGCCCATGGGGTGACCCTCACCCTTGGGCCCACGCTCATGCTGCTCCAAATGGAGCAAAGCGCTAAAATGCAGCAGGGATAAGCAGAATATGCAAGGAGACAGCTCCAGTTCTGCTGGAAGGACGGATATGCACTTTGCACAGACCCTGGCAGTGCATAGAAAACGGATCTTCTCAAGGAAGGGTTCCCAACATGAACCACCGAGCTAGTTTGCTCACACTGAAATCAAAGACATTTTTCACAGAGCCCAGTTCAAGGCAGCACCAAGCACATCAGAAGCCCCATCCACTGCACTCGCTGCTATTTTAGGGCCCGTTTCCTTTTGGCTCTGCTCATGCATCACTGTCATCCTGCCTTCACTCCCTGCTGTCTATATTTCTCTTTCCAGACCCAATAACAGTCTGCAGGAACGAGCTGGCTAACAGGGAAAAGCTTTACATATCGGACCCGACAGCAGAAGGAGTAAAAGGTTGAGGCATTACCAATGATTTTGATTCTTCTTAAATAAATCTTAAGAATCATTTACTAAGCAGACTGAAAATACTCTAGAATCCCAGGGGGAGAGAGAGTGGTGGCTCTTCTGAAAGGCAGTGCTAGTGCTTGCCCTAACCAGACCCAGTAAATAAATTATAGAAGTGGCTACGGAAACGCTTTCATGTCCTGCCAGTGGTGCCCAACTCACCAGCCAGTTCTCTGCCTCCGTTTTCCTCATTTACAAAAAACAACAACAAAAGAAAGAACTAATAATAATCAAGAGCCCCCTGATATAAGTAGGTAATAGCTAGATGCGAGTAACAGGGATTAATAATAAGCCGGTGTTGTCAAGTGCTTGGAGATCTGGAGGTGAAGAGCTCTATCTAATAAGCCCCAAGCATTCACACTCCATTTATGATCATTGTTATTAGAGTGGAGAAACACTTTAGGACTTTAATGGCAAAACTGCTCTTTTCCATTGCACAGAAATGCCTGGAGCATCTTGCACACATCCAGCCCTTGGCACTGAGCACCCCGGCCTGCGCCCTCGTCTTGGCACTGCCTAGATAGCCCCAGAGAAGGCAGAGATGCCTAGAAAACCCATGGAATAATCCCAACCGTGTCTTCCCTTCCCCAGCCAGGTTTCTCTGCTGAAGGCAAAGTGCATTTCCCAGCCTGGCTTGGCTCCAGATCCCAGCGGAGGCTGCACCTTCTCCGCACAGACCGAGAAAAACAATCAGAAAAGCCCAGCGGGAAACTTGATTAAAACTCACGGGTGGGAGATAGGGCGGTGGGTTTTACCTCTTCTCACGGCTTAAAGCATCTCTGATGAGAGGAAAGGGGTAGCAGAGAGAAAAGACTAACTGTGTGCATATAAACGTAGCCAAGAATTCCTGCAGCAAGGAATGCGAGCAGGAGAAGGGGAGGAAAAGGGGGACTTCCCAAGCAGGGCACATGGGCAGGTTAGGGCTAATTGCACGTCCCAGAACTGCTGGTAAATGAGCCGAAACCATCAACATCATCACACGTTCTCAACTTTCTGATCTGGGACAGGGAAGTGAGAAAGGCTCCGAATTTCTGGTGCAGAGCCAGGACATCCTCCTTTGAGCTGCCACCATCTTCTCCGTGTTATCCACCAACCAAGGGACCCTGCAAGGCAACGTGGCTCATCCAGCTCAAGGAACAGCTCTGCCACCAGAGAGAGGCTGACTAGATGGCAAGTGCAATGTCACCTCTGCCATAGGCAAGGACATTCAAGGAGAAAACAAGTTTAAAGCAGCACTGGAGTGGCTAAGCCCCTCGTAACCACACGGAGCAGAAAGAAGTTGTCCTGGGTTAATTCTTCATCCTTGTTAATATGAAAAATCTGAAATTAAAGAATGAGGGTGTCCAGGTGCAACAGCATAGCCTTTAACACCAATGTTAATAGTTTTAAGCCTCTCTTTCTCTGGAAAGCAGTGGGTGCTCCTTTTCTTCAGCCATTTAAAAGCAGATAAAGCACTGGGGGCAGCAGAGGGAAAAAGCTGCGACCACCTAACCCGTTTTCACATCCCTAATGCACGCGGGCAGTCACCAAGGCGAGATGCATCTCTGCTCCTGACCTCCTACTGCTCCCCACTCGGTCCCTGGGGACCAGGGGGCCAAAACGGCGACGTGTCCTGCCCCAAAGCAGGGGTCCAGCCTTATTTTCGGAGCAGGGACAACACGAGCAAACCTGCCCTGCCGCCATCCAACATATGAGGAGCTATTGGGGTGAAATCCCGGGAGAACAGGCAAAACGCAGCAGGGAGCTGCCCCGGAGAGCGAAACGCGGCCCCGCGCGGGCAGGACAGCAAAGGGCACCATTAATTCTGCATGAGCACGAGGTGCACGTTGCCACGGCAACGAGTCCCGCCGTGCTCCTTGGACCACCCCCTTCCTCGTCATCAATATTAATTAATCCCCGCGCCGAGGCGGGAGAGCCCCCGGCCACACCAGGCATCCCTGAGAGCCACAGGGAAGGGAAGCAGCGAAGATTCCCCTTTGCTCATGGGAATAGTGTGCACCTTTCATCTTATTCCTGGCTGCGGAGCCAGGAATTTGCTCCAAAACATGCAAGTGCACGACCGTGGTCCCCACGGCCACAAGAACTGAAGTCCCAGGCCATGCACGGCTTTCCAGCTGGCATCTCCCAAGGATAGGAGACAATAGGGAGAACAATAGGATCAACCGCCGGGTTGGGAACCTCTGCGCTGCTCCCAGCTCTCTGAGCACCTCTCGTGCAAGGACCTTGCAAGCACCTTGCAAGCACCTCAACACATCACAGGCATCTCCAGGAAAGGGGGTATCTCCTCCTGGAGCAGCTCAGCCCCAAGCCCTGCAAGCAGCAGGGCCTGCAACACGCCGGGCAGACCATGGAGGAGTGGGAAGAGCTGACTTCATGTTTCCATAATTAAAGGATGGGGGAAGGAGGGGAAAAAGCAGCGTTGAGCAGTTGGAAGATCTAAAAGCAACCGCGTGTGCAGGCGGTGAGCAAGGTGAGGGCAGAGCAGGGAGGAGTTTAAGGCATCTCGTTCTCCGGATAGGAAACATCAAAGTCACTCTTGGAAATCATGCATCTGAAAAGATGCATGGGAGGATCCGCAGCCCTTATCAGCGATGGGAGAAGGCTGGAAACGCGTGCCCTACGGCAGTGGCAGACAAGGAGATCAGCTCAGCAGCACAGACCCTTCCCGAGACGCAGCACAGACAGCGTTGAGGGTTACACCAAAGGCAGCATCCACTGTCTAAGCTCATTTGCTGACCTTTTCCAGGCACTCAAGGCACCAGACGCTGACAACCCTTCGGAAGAGTGCAAGCAGAAAGGTAATATCTTAACATTCCCACCGTCTATCTACCCCTTCTCTAAACTCAAGCCCTATCACATGAAAGTGCATAAATTGATCCCCAAGAGAAAGCTCAATGCTGACTGTGAAGGGAGAAAAAAAAAAGAAAAGAGACAAGAACACTCTCAAGAGATCAAAAGTGGTGCCTAATAACTGCAGCTCCCTTCACTACTGCTCAGCTTTTTGGAGAGCTGTTTAGAACCCCCTCATGTAATTAAAAGGGAGCAGCTGGACAGAGAAAGGACAAGGCTGTCCCAGAAACCTGCAGCAAAATGCAGCCCTGCACAAGCAGTGATTTTGTGGTTGCATGACGTGTCACAACATTGCTGCCATGCCTTGATATCCCAAGGTTTGCACAGCAAAGCTGCACACCGGCTTCATTAGAGGCCAAGGAAAGTGGCAAGTACAGCTCTTTATAGTGGGAAAAATGGGAAAAATCCAGTCCCAGGCTAATTGCAGACAGCCACTGCACAGTGTTCATGGCCTCAGGAAGCAGGGAGAAAAAAAGCAAGGAGAAAAGAAAGCATTTCATTCACATGGCCACATCTTTCCTTGAGAGATGTCCCCGACACACACGGGAGGTCACAGCAGCCACTGGGGACCGCAAGGAGCATCAGCCTGGCTTAGCATCAGCGCCGTTGTCTGACATTTATTATGACAGGATGGACACTGTGGTCTAAAGCCTTAAGTGAGATGGATGAGGGTTGAAGCGGATCAAACCTCCCCGCTCGAGCTGCTGCAAGTCGCTGCCTCCCAAACAGCAGCAGGAGCCAGACAGGGCAGCAAGAGCACGGTGGGGAGAAGAGCTGTGGGAAAAGGCATGGGGCTGGGAAATACCACTGTGGGCAGAAAAAAAAGGAGTATTTCTAATAGAAACCAGCCCCTCCACGAGGCCTGGGGTCTGGATTCATTTTGCAAGACCCAAGAGAGGAAGAGGCTGGGGTCAGTAGCTGAAGCTGACAGGCTGTTTCAATCCCACCACGCAGAAAGGGAACAGAATTAAAGAACTTGTTTTATTTTAAGCTCCGTTTTCAGGGCTTCCTTCCTAGTGCAACTGAGCGCTTCCTCCCTACCAGAGCCAGTCCTTCACCCAGCTCCATCCGTGTCCTCTGCAGGGACAGCGTTCCTGCACGACGGAGCTGCTCATCCCGATGGACACAGGTGCTCCGTGGGCAGACACGGCTGCCCTGCAAGGTTAAGCATCTTATGCGACTCCTAAGGCAATTTATTTCCTCCCCCTTTACATCTGTGCCAATGTGCTATGGCCAGGGGAAGCTGCTCATCAGAATTAGGGGATTTTAACTCAATGAGAAGCAAGACCGAGACCACTGACCTGTCACCGATGGGTGGTTCATGCTCAGGCAGAGCCAGTGCCTGCAACGATGGGAACAACCTCCTCATGATGCCAAATGAGGCTGCTCCCATCCCTGCTGCTCCACAGCCTCTCTGTGCCCCAGATAAGACTCAAACTAGAGGGCAACAGCTGGGTCATGAAGTCCGTGAAGCTCCTGAATGATCAGCACAGCTCCAAGATCCAGCCCTCTCCATGACTTGGAAAGGCTGGAATTTTCTAAAACCATCTAATCTCTCCCACCTGACTCCAATAAGAGATGCTGCAAACAAACAGAAATCCAACCTGGCATCGCGGACGCTTTACGGACACAGTGAAGGGGAGGAGGGACCCTCCAAATCCTCCTCCCATCTCACTTTCCCTGCAGGGAAGCGCATCCTGCTCTGCATATTCCTGCCAAGCCCAAATCCAGGATGCTCCTGCCCTGAGACTGGGAGGCTGCAGCGGAGCCAGCATCCACCTACTCCCAAATTCCTTATAGACTCTCCAAAACTTATCCAAAATACTGCAGGAGAATGGAGAACTGACCAGCTAAGACACCAGGACCAGGTCCTCAACTGGGGAAATGGAGGAGCCTTCAACAGAGCAAAGAGTTTAAGATATTCAAGCCTTAAGATACTCAACAGAGCTTAGCAAAGCCCGTCTCAGCTGTAGGAATGCCAGTGACACTGGAAATTTGGGACAAAATGGTAAGTTTACACCGTTAAATGGCCCTGTTTTGAAAGGAAGCAGAGACAACTCCATAAATCTACGGTTGAAGAGTTTGCTGGGCCAAAATGGGTGTCTAACAAAAAGGGAGATGGAAACAGCACATGAGTACTAATCTGGGACATCTCCCTGCTGCCTTGGCAAGTCCTTCAGCTCCAGCATCACCCAAGCACCTTCCCATGCAGGATGGGGTCTTGGCAGAGCAGAAGCTGAAGGTGCAGAAAGCGGATTCCTTCAAAAGGAAACAGAGCTTTGGCATTTCCAGGGCAGAAGATGGCTTGTTTTCTAGCTTTGCATCGCTGTATGGAAAGTTCCTGCCCCCAAAAGCTTCCCAAAGAAGTTCTGAGCTTTTCTGAGAGGAACTCGCACCATTTCAGGGTTGCAAAAGGAGGCCCGTCGCTTGGCGAGCCACCAAGGGCGGCGCTTTCCTAGCTCCTCTCTGCGGGCACCAGGGATCTTTCGGAATATGTCATCTGCATGGGCTGGGCTGCTAATATTTTGGAGCCCTAAGCTAGAAATTACACCTACGTTTGCTTTTATTTTTGTGTTAGATGCCTTCTCCGCTCTAATTTTAGATTAATCACATTTTATCTCGCATCCGTTTCTCCCCCGCCTCCCTCCCCACCCCCATCAGAGAAAAAGAAAGAGAGAATCGTGTTATTAATTGGCTGCAGTTTTCTCCTAGGTTCTTATCTGAGAACATGAAGGTAGGGAGGACGGGGAAAGTGACTGAACCGCCTGCTAGCAGAAAAAAGGGGATTTTAAACCCAACTTTCAGAGGAAACAAGGCTCCCAGGATGACGTTTTCTGAGCATGCGCTGCCTGCACCCAACAGCTTTTAAAGCTGCTGATAATGCTCAGAGCAGCGTGGCCTCCAAAACAGAGTTTCTACAACTCTGTGAATCCCAAAGACCTTCATGATGTCCTGGTTTGGAGAAAAGGTGTGTTGGGATCAGACATCGGGGGAGCTAAAGCTGGGAGAGACCCTGGCAATGCCATAGGTGT